GTGTGTGTGTGTGTGTGTGTGTGTGTGTGTGTGTGTGTGTGTGTGTGATTTACTCTGCAGGGAGTATGAATTCATTCAGAAGAGATGTCACTAACCAAATCATGTCTCTCAATTTTGGGTCTGTGGTATAATACAGTTAGATGACTTTGTCAAAATTTGATTTTGGAGTATCAAAGTATTTTTAATTTGCCTTATTTTAATTCAGATCTTTATTTTTTTTTTCTTTAGTGAGCAAAACAATCTCTTGTTCATTGCATTTTGTGGGCATACCCTGACACAAGAAAACCTGACCACCTACTCATATAGCGCCAAGCAATCATTCATCAGTGGCTGAGTTCACCTTACAAAGTTTCTCTGAAAATCCTCAGGTTCAGATCTTCCTCTTCAGCCTCTTCTTAGGACTTTTCATCCTGGCTTTCACAGGTAACTCCCTCATTGTCATTGTGATCAGTCTAAATCCAGGCCTCTATACTCCCATGTACTTTTTCCTTATAAATTTGGCCTTGATGGACGTTCTCTCTGCCTCCACTGTGGTGCCCAAGTTGCTGCACAACCTAATGACCAAGAACACCATTTCCTATGGTGGCTGCATAGATCAAATCTATTTCCTAAGTAGGTGTATGGGGGCAGAGCTCTTGCTTTTCACAGCCATGGCCTATGATCATTATGTAGCCATCTGCCAGCCCCTCCATTACAGCACTATTATGAGCAAGGCAGCTTGCTGCCTCATAGCATCTGCAGTGTGGGCTATTAGTGGGACCAATGCAACAATAAACATCATCATGACTGTTCGCTTGTCTTTCTGTGGCCCCGATGTCCTTGATCATTTCTTTTGTGAGATTCCTCCATCATTGCCTCTCTCCTGCTCTTCAACCTATATCAACAATGTAATGGTACTGGTGGCAGACATGTTCTTTGCTCTTTTCAATTTTCTGCTCATTCTGGTGTCCTATGGTTTCATCATCTCCAGCATCTTGAAGATCCGGAGTAAGAAAGGGAAGAAGAGAGCATTTTCCACTTGTTCCTCCCACCTTATTGTGGTCACTATGTATTACTGCCCTAAAATTTATATTTATATTCTTCCTGGTTTGGGTCAGTCTCTGAAGGAAGGCAAAGTAGCCTCAGTGTTTTATACCATAGTGACCCCAGCCCTTAACCCTCTGTTCTACTCCCTGAGAAACAAAGATGTGAAAATAGCCCTGAAGAAATTATGTCCATTTCTTAGGAAATTATTGGCCATTTGGCAAACTGATATAGCTGAGAATAATGGGATTAAGAGTAATTCTGAAACAGAAAAGTGTATATACATCACAGCTTTACACATCATTTCTTCTGGTAGACAATGCTCCTGAACTCAGGATATATTCTTAGGTGAACAAGCTAACTCCATCATTACATTGTTTCTTAAAGACTTTTAATGAAGGAAAAGTCAGAATGTCTCCAAAGAATAGCACAGAAACAATCAAAGTGCCATACCGTGTCAGATCCTTGGTTTAAACAGAATTGAATTTTCTTGCCAAGACACATTCTAAGAGATAATTTATTTGAAGTTATGCTTGCCTATTCTCTCTGATGTCAAATATTTATACGTGACATATTGGAGTTTTTATTAGGAACCTGATAGACTTCAGGTACAGTGGAAAAGGCCTCAATTAGGTCTCTAACACCACAAGAGGACTTCCTTTGATTTAACTGAGGAGTAAAGTAAAGGCCTCTCCTTGCTTTCTCTCCTCATGCAAAGGAAAGGGTTTCAACTAAGGTTGATTGTATTAGAGAACTTTGGTGACTGTGGCAATGGAAAAGGCATAAAGAAAGGCTAGCAGTATAGACAGGTCCTCAACTTGACTCCATCTGCACAGTAAGGGAGAGCAAGAACTCAACTCCTGAGGCCTCAGCAACAAAAATGAATGATCAAACAGAAAAAAAAAAAGACTTTTCTTATGCTGGAAATTATCTAAGCACCAACTCAGAAGATGAAAATAACCTCAAAAAAAGTACTTATAATCAGAACCTCAAAGAAAAAGTATTTGCACATAACAATTAGGATTTTTTATGAAAACGAATTTTTAAAATTACATAAGAAATGAAAACTATTGAAAGAAAAGGAATAGGAATTTATGAGGTGGCTATTATGTACCAGGTACCATACTAAGTTTTTTTTCCAAATATTATCTCATTTTATATTTTTTCTTTTTTTTTTAAATTTATTTTAATTTATCAATCACTTCCGTATGCTTTTGAGTTTAAAATTTTTCTCCCCCTTCCTCCCCACCACCCTCCCCACGACAGCACATAATCTGATATAGGCTATACATTTACATTCATATTAAACATATTTTCACATTGGAGATGTTGTAAGTAGAAATTAAAACCAATAGGAGGAACCATCAGAAAGAGGAAACAAAACTCAACAGAAGAGAAAAAAAATAACAATTCAGCTTCCATAGTTCTTTCTTTGGGTGTGGATAGCGTTTTCCATCACAAGGCCTCTGGAGATGTCTCATATCCTTGTATTGCCAGGAAGGGTTAAGGTTATCAACATTAGTCATCATACAACTTGGCTGTTATTGTGCATAACGTTCTCTTGGTTCTGCTAACTTCACTCAGCATCAGACCATACAAGTCTTTCCAGGTTTTTCTGAAGTCAGCCTGTTCACCATTTCTTACACCACAATACTATTCCATCACATTCATATACCACAACTTGCTCAGCCATTCCTCAATTGATGGGCATCCTCTCAATTTCCAATTCTTTGCCGCCACAAAGAGAGCTGCTATGAATATTTTTGTACATGTAGGTCCTATTCCCATTTGTGTGATCTCTTTGGGATATAGCCCTAAAAGTGCTATTGCTGGGTCAAAGGGTATGCACATTTTTATAGCCTTTTAGGCACAGTGCCAAATTGCTCTCCAAAATGGTTGGATCATTTCACAACTCCACCAACAATGCATGAGTGTTCCAATTTCCCCACATGTTCTCCAGCATTTATCATTTTCCTGTTTTGTCATGTTGGCCATTCTGATAGGTGTGATGTGGTACCTCAGAGTTGTTTTGATTTGCATTTCTCTATCAATAGTGATTTAGAGCATTTTCCCTATGACTATAGATGGCTTTAATTACTTCATCTGAGAACTGTCTGTTCATATCCTTTGACCATTTATCAATTGGGGAATGGCTTGTATTCTTATAGATTTGACTTAATTCTCTATATGTTTTAGAAATGAAGCCATTATCAGAGAGACTGGTTGTAAAATTGTTTTATATTTTTAATATCCTGAAATACAGGTGCTATTATTATCCATGTTTAGTAGTTGAGGAAACAGAGACAAATAGAGATTGTAAGTATTTGAGGCCAAATTTCAACTCAAGGCTTTCTGATTCCAAAACTAGTGCTCTAGGAGGAGAAACTTGGAAATAAAGCCCCATAGTTTAAGAGAAGAGATATAAAACTCTACTGCAGTAAAAATTCACTAAAAATCATAATGGACCAAATTAATGATTCTAAAAGTCAACAAGAATTCTTCAATTAAAGTCAAAAGAATGGATAAGATATTTGATATAAAAAATAACTGACCTAGAAAATAATCAAGGTGAGATAACTGAAGACATATTATGTAACAAGCCCAAAGAAGTAGTTGATGGGTCACAAATCCCCCTGGAATGTATAGTTTTTTATAAAGAAAATTAAGTGGAGACCAGTCCTAAATTGTGGGTGGGAGTAGAGATATTTTTTTCACTCATAGTGACAATGTGACTTTTGGGATTCTCAAAAATGTGGGCCTTTTTTTTTTTCATAAATCTGCCTTCTGTTTATCTAGCCAAGCTACAGCAGGATGACTTGAACCTCATAACAACAAAGAAAAAAGGAACTTGGATATCATTTTGCAAGAAATCATTAAAGAAAATATCCAGACATATAAGAGTAAGAGGGAAAACTGAAAATAGAAAGGATACACTGATGACCTCCTAAAAGAAATTCCAAAATAAAAACTACTTGATACATTATTGGCAGTACTCAGAGCTTCAAAATATAAGCAGTCAGAAAGAAAGAAATAAAATATTGAAGAACCACAGTGAAGATTGAACAAGATTTGGCAGCTATTACTTCAAAGAAAGGGAGAACATGGAGTGAAATATTCTATGAAGCAAAATACAAGAATATCTTACCTGGTAAAACTGAGTATTATATCCTATGAATAAAAATGGACTTTGAAAGAAATAGATTTTCAAATATTCTTGATAAAAACTGAATTGAAAAAAGAGCTTTCAAATAAACATGTAGAACTATTTATATTTTAATGCAGATAGAAGATAATGTTAAAAGATTTCTTTAGGAACCCTATTATCACAGGGATCATTGAGGAAGTCAACTGAAACAAAAACTGATAAGTAGTTTTGTTTTGAAAGTGTAAGAAAAGAGGCAGTTGGAGAATACACATTAATGGGAGGTGGGAGAAAAATGGGAGCTTTGTTAAGCCATAATCAGTTTTTATATGTAGGCATATATCCAAACATAGATAAAGTGAAGAAAGTGAATGTTCCTTGAATTAGGCTTTAATGTAAACTGGTCAAAAGAAGGCAGAACACACACAGAAATAAGTGTATAAATATATTCAACAGAACAGGGAAAAAATAAGAAAAAGGATGAGGGAAAGGGGAAATATAAGTGAGAAGGTATATTCAGGAAGCTATTGGTGTTTTCAATATAACAAACCTTAGACTTAGAGAAGGGATAGTAAGGAAAAGGTTAAAAGTAGGGAAAAGAACAGTAATTTTAAATAAACAGGAACAAAAGAGTATAGAAAAGGAAAACTACAATAGAATAAAATGGAAGGGAGTAAACAATTAATTATCATAGCTGTGAGCATACTTGGCATGAATTCATCTATAAGAATTTAGAAGAATTCCAAACTACCAAAAATTATTTTATAATAAAATAAAAAATTTATTTCATTAATAAAATTAATGAAATAAAGAATATTTCATTAATAAAATTAATGAAATAAAGAATATTTCATTAATTCCAAATCAATAAGTTTTTCACAATGACATATGTTTATACCACAGGGCATACATTGTAGAGTTATTTCCACAATTGTAATAAACTTTGAAACAACCCATTATCAATTTACTTGAATGTACTCCTAAATCACTTTGCACAGAGAATTATTCATCTCATCATTAAGGTTAAAACTGTAACTTTAAACCACCATATATTTTTATAATAGTCAAGATTTTAACAAAAATATACTATCATAGTCTTACAACCAAATATATCTCACTAGGTATTTAACAGTTTCAAATTATCTCATCTTTATCACAAAAAGACCCATTGCAGGTCAAGAGTTACTTTAACACCATTTCTACCTCACCATGGTCCCTCAGATTTTACAATCTAAGAATTTTAGAAGTACAGTAATAACTTAAACAATAAACTTCAGATAACATCAGTTGCATTTCCATATTATCACATATAGAAATTATTACTCTTAGCACTTTCAACAATTACATTAAATAATAAAGAATGCCACTTCTAACCTATGCCATAAGCATTCAATCATCATTCATTTTTTTCCATAATAACCATTTTTATAGAACAGTAAACTTACATCCAATCAGATCCTAATTTATAATCACTAATGATAAACATTTAAAACATTTTTGTTTCAAATCCAATGCTCTTGGCCCTTTAAAAGGAAATATTCTCCACAAATTTATATATTCCCTTAAAAATACCCATGTAAATAATTCCTGCTGTAAACAGTTATCTCCCTTTTTCTTTTCCTACTTCCTTAAGGAGCAAAGAAAGTACCCCATCATTTTTAGCAGCTTATCAGATAGAGCCACTCTCCTGAGACTCTCAGGCTTCAGCAATTTGAACAAGGCGTAACCCTCTATCACTTTGCTTTTCTAATTAAGCTAAAAAAATTTTTCATTTTTTCATCCTTCTACTTAAAACAGACCTTCATACCTTCCCAACTTACTTATTATGCTTTTCTTTCTACCCATACTTCTCTCATTCCTACATTCTTAAACTTTCTTGTCTTTCCTTCTGATGGACTTTGATTAAAATCCCTTTAAAACTGCACGTATCTTATTTCTTTCTAAGTCTGACCTGACACTTCTCTTACCCTCTTCAACTGGCTTTTTCCAATCATTTAACCTAAATAACAAAGTATTTCTTTTCTCTTACTTTCTCTCATCCACTCTCCCCTCTAATGCTTTTATAATGTTAAAAACCCTTATTTTCATAATATTAAACACATTGCCCCTATAC